AGGTCACTGCTAAGTTCTCCATTAGACAAGTGCCCAACATGGACCCTCAGGTGGTCAAGAACCAGGTATAATGGAATGGTATACAAAAAACAACAAGCATGTTTTTGTTGCTAACACCTACAAACCTAACTATCACCCCACTTCCCTTCGTCTACAAACCTTGTTACCTTCTTGTCTTGTTTAGGTGACAGACTACCTCCACTCAGTGTTTGCCAAGAGGAAAAGTCCTAACAAGCTCAAAGTGACCATGGTGATTGGAGCGAAGCCTTGGCTGGCAGACACTGAGCATCCTCTTTATGAGGCTGGGAAGGCTGCTGTCAAGAGAGGTAGCACTCTTCACATCACATTAAGCACCAATCACAATGTCAGAGGCCTTTATACAGGAGCATACTGTAGCAGAAGTAAAGCAGCCGTAGCGCTGCACGATAAAAATATACAAGCTGTAGTAATGATGAAAGGCTCCTAAACAGACCCCTCAATAGATCACACAAGGCTTTGTTTTAAAGACAGATATACAGGTGTATTGGCACTGAACTAGTATATCATGACTACTAATATACTGTATCAAGAATGATACAAGTACAACTATGAAGATAAGGATTAAACCCACCAGGCTGAACACCTTTGACAAAACACCAACATTTACAGCAGTTAACAGGTTCCCACACAAATTTACACATAGGCCTTTATTCTTAAAGTTACTGGTTCTTGTATCTCTTACATCTTACCCACCAAAATCAGGACTGATACCAGACTGCATTGGTAACACAGAATTATTCTTTTCATGTCTTTTCATTTCAGTGTTGGTTGTTTCTATTTATAGTTTTTGACACAGACCCCGATCTGATCCGTGAGGGAGGGACCATCCCCATTGCCAAAACCTTCCAAGATGTGACAGGAAAAGACATCATCATGATGCCAATTGGAGGCTTTGATGACGGACTGCACTCCCAAAATGAGAAGATGAGCAGGTTTGACTCCATATGGCATTTCTGTCTTCTGCTTTTTATAGGAGATTGTAAATCATACACGTTATGCTTTGATGCGACTTTTACACAAAAAGGTGACACACATACTGTAGGCAAAATTAAGGCATGTTTAATTATATATTTAAAATTACATATTTACGTTACAAAATAAAATAAAATAAAACTATGTATACTTATATTCGTATGTTTATATTTATAAATATACTCATATACTTTATTTATATACTATATATTTGTAATACATATTTATATTACTAATATATAGTTTTAGTGTCAGCAACCCCTACTTGTCCCAGTTCATAGTACCTATATTTAAGATAATAATACAAACACTAAAACCATTTTTTACAGCAGTTCCTGACTTCAGCTTTAGTCTATCTTTAATCAATCAAACAATTTGATTTTTCTCGTCCACTTCCAGGTACAATTATATTGAGGGAACCAAGTTATTTGTCACCTTCCTGGATGAAGTTTCCAAGATTAAGAAGACGAGTGTGTGATACTGTGCAGTTCTTGATCTGACAACTGTAAAACTCCAGGGACAGCAATGTCTAACTCTAACTATAGTTTTATAGTTTCCCACACTGTACTGTGCTAATGAGCATGTCACAAAATAAAATCGTCATAATGCAATTATGGATGTACATTTTTAATATATGAGCTTTTCTGTGTCAATGTAATTTTAGTGATTGCACTTCACATTTCATTCTCGTGTCCCAGAATTATTTACACAAAATGTAGGACTGTACATTATGTAGTACTAAACTGTACTGTACGCACATGCAAAAAATATGAGTTTAGACACTACATTTAGAGCTACGTTTAGAGCTATATTTCAACCTTCGAATGGTGTTCTATCTGTTTGTGATCTCGTCATCGATGCGTGTCAAGGAGAAGGTGTTCAGGTTGAGTTTTTTGCCTTTTGTTATTTTTGAAATGTCCACACATTAACCATACATAATGCATTTAGAGATTGATTTTTTTTCTGGTAAGCCATTCTGATGTTGAGTTAGAATAATGACAAACACACACGTATTCTTACTTCAGTCATGAGACATTTATTTGCCAGTCGAACACTACGTCTGTCTCATTTCAGAGCTAAAATTGAAAAATCAATACAGACTCTGTATATGGAAAAATGTGCTGCTGCCGTTCCTGGACTGTGACCAGCCTTTGTCTGCAGCCCAGACAAACTCCTATTCAGGCAAAAGTCCTGTCTTTACCATCCATTTGACGGAGGTCATTGTTCCACATGGTTTTACATTTGGCAACAAGGATTTTTAAATCAAATTTTAAGTCAACTTAATGAAAATTATCTAACATATTAATATGTTAATCTTCTGCCTCAGTGCGCCAGTAAAAATGAAGAAGCCCGTGTGTCCCAGAAGCAAGCGGTAAGGAGGAACCCTGGTGTTGTGAAGAAGCCGTGTCTGACACTTCATCGGCCTGATTCACAACACCAGCTGACCCTCCCCACCTTCACACACACACACACGCAGAGAGAACAGTGCTGTACAGTGCAATCAGTGCTTCAGTTCAACGGTTGTGCCCGGATGAACTTGATTAGCTTTTAATGGTGTCTATATGGGACTTGGATTTAAGAAATGAATCTAAGAAATGTAAAATAAAACGCAGGAAGTCAAAAGATTTGTCATTCGAATGTAAAGGTAGTGACAACGTTGTCTTTTGAAACAATAGGCTTTACTTCAGAGTAAAGTAAAAGTGGACTAGAGTTGTAATAACACTGTTGGTAAAAAAATGGCTACTTATGTTTTAATTTCTTGTTTTAGGTCAAGGTAATATACACGGCAATAATATTGGATAATAGTTTTACAATGCTTCTAATGTGCACACACGGTGCCACTGACATGGAGGACGTCTGTTTAGAAGTCTGCAGGAAAACATATTGATTCAGGGGAATAACACGTTTTCAGTCTAGTTTTCATGTACAGTCTATGACATTTTAATATAGTTTATCTTCTTTTACCAAATGGACTGTAGGGCTTCTAACCTCCATAAATACAATTCCTATCTCTCAATAACTCACACGATCATGTACCTCAAATAGAAAATTGACCATAGTTATCTGAATGGGAAAAAATAGCATGTCTCATAAGAACACAGCAGACGAGACTGGATTTAAAAGGCGCCCTTTGTCTGGTGCATACTTGAGATTTGCCCTGCGTCACTCACCTGTTCACTTTCCTCTGACTTAAATAAATTAAGGTGTACGGCCTCAGGTTTTACCAGTCGCTCAGATGAAAAACATTATGTGCTGAACAAAAGCCGTGGCAGAAACATACTGGAGGGCAGTTACTCCAGCTACTCTCACGTCTCCTCCGAACCCCTTCAGTGATGTTCCATAATCTGTGATGCCGGTCACACACTCCCAGACGTAATCTGCAGCACAAGAGACGGGAGACAGGGTAAAAAATGTATTCATCATTTTTTGACATCGTCTAAAGTGTCAGTTTGACCGCAGGGCAAAACATAAGGCAGCTCTCTAACATAACAGTGCTCCATTTGCACGCCTATTTATAAAGTATAGTGTGATATTGAGGACAGGGCTGCAAAGGAGCTGAGAATAACTTAGGTTTCACAGCAGCAGGCCGCAATCCACCACGGAGCAGCAGGATCTACGTGAACGCCAAAATCGTGTCAGGAGAAGGAGGGTTTAAGGGAGACCTGGTCTTTGGCCCAGTATTTTTTTTAATGTTTTAATGAATACAATTCTTGAGTTCTGCATTTTTAATTTTAATTCAACACGTAATCAAGTGAAGATGGGAAATTATGCAGAAACGACCACGCAATTATACGTTTGACTCAAGACCTTATCTGGAATTGTGACTGGTGGGTAGTCAGGTTTCTAAGACTTCTAAATGAAGGATCAAGACCTTTTTTTTTATCTTAAACAGGATTACGACATTATAATGACTTTATATACTTTATATTAATGTAAGAAAGTGTGCATTGGAGTGTTTCCTTCCAAAGAGTCTAATAAGTCCCTGAAGAAAATATAATCTACTTTAATATCTACTACAAAAACTGCCTCAGATACAGCCATAAATACAGAAACTAGAATTTAGCAAAAAAAACAAAAAAAAAAACACAACAACAACAACAACAACTCCCAACTGCTAAAATGAGTTAAATGTTTGCAAATCAACTAAAATACTGTCTTTTAACATATGGTAAGAAGTCTTTTATATATAACAATATTTTGAAAAGGTTCAGGAAGGAAGTCAGAAGGACTTTGAGCAAAAAGACCAATGACAACAACAACTCATCTGAATGTATGTTTTTTCCACCATGCCACTGTGACGGCCATCACACAAAGAGGAAAGTGTCTATCTATTCTCATGCAGAATTCTGTGCTCTTAAAATGTACCAGTGGTCAACACATTGCTGTTTGACCTAAAATGTTTTCCCTCAGGCTCAGTAACGACATTGAACAGCACACATTGACAAACACGCCAAAACGCTGCGGAATAGAGACCTGCAGTCATCCTCTGACTCTGACATGATCTAAATTGTAAGGTCAGAGTTTGGCTGCTTTTACAGCATCTCGCTGCCCCCCTCCCCCCCCCGCTCCACCCCTCCCATTGTATACCTTTCCCCCCCTCTTTCTCACTGAAGTGTTTCTACCTATTATGCACAGTGACATTCTTTGTCTGAAGGACACTGGCTTTCAGCCAGCAGCCTGCACGGCTTCATCCCAACCATTTAATGGAGACGATAAAAGAACTTTCCTGTGGCACAAAAGCCCTTATGTGGGCTTTGTTGCAATTAGATTGAGCAGAAAGGCCAGCAAACCTAATAAAAGAGGATTAGGAGAAATGTATTGCCTGGCTTTTTATGTGAAGTGTGACACAGCAACTTGTGGAGGAATTAGTAAGGAGTCTGACCGGCTGTGGATTGGTCAGGGCAGGAGGACAAACCCATGATTAATGGAGTGGTCAAAGGCTACACTTAAAACCCAATTTCACAGGAAGAGACCGATTGGCAGCACAGTAGAGTAGGCTGAAAACATTTCCATGGCCCAGCACAGAGCTGTGTAACAGCTGGGTGCCCCTTCATTACAGAGTGGCTGCCTGTTCTTCAGCTGCAGACAACTGAAGTTTTTTTTAAGGGCTGATTTGGTTTAGGGAAAATACATTTCAGTCTTATTTTGAAAGACAATAAGTTTAAATATATTATACATGACATTTGTCAAACACCGACCGCCTCCTCATTTTAGATGGCCCACCGGAGTTCAGCTTAGAATATGGGTGTCTTAAAATGAAAGTCTATATAGTAGAAAGCCTACACTAATATTTACTAGAAGGTTTAAATGCAGTGGTCAAATCCCATCCATATTGGTGGCTAAATTATAAATCTAATTCTCTAATTTCAATTTTGCTTTTTTTTCATTTTGTAATATTGAATATTTCTGGTTATAGAATTGTCAGCACTAGTAATTAATCCTGCTAATCCTGTTTGGCCCACAACCTAGACTTTTAATGTTGGCTCCATGAGTAAATACATTTGCCACCACTGTTATACTATATTTCGTAAGTTTTACATATTTCCGTTTGGCTTTTGGGAATTGTACAACCAACTATTACAAATAATTTGGTTGCATTTTATGTTTGAGGCTATTCAGGGAATATAGTCTGACAGTAAACAGAGCGAAGGTGGAGTGGGCTGGAGATCTGTCTGAAATGATTGAGAGAAAGAAGACAGAAGAAAGAAGAGATGATGAGGGACACAACACAATATAATTATTAAAACAGCAGGTGCTGAGGTAAAAAAAAAAAAAAACGGGGTCAGTCCTGCATACACGGAATCAGACTGTACAGCTCTAGAGGCAGGAGAAACAACATGTGTGTGAGGAAGAACAGGAAGGAGGAGGAATACAGAGAGGGAGAGAGTTTTGTGTAGGCAGCTACCATTGAACTTCTTCCTAGGACGGTAAAGCCTTCACTGCCACGGGTCCTCAATAACAATCAACAACACAAACGATTCACTTGATCTTTTCCAGGGTTTAAACTGTTCTGTCTTTGTAGCTGCAGAGTAACGTAAGACCTCACAGGTAAGGAAGAGGAGGAGGAGGAGAAGGAGGAGGAGGAGAAGCGTGACTGATGTTGGTTTTATCTTCGTTCCATTCATCACAATCTACTTGTGCTTAGCCAAAAACTTCGCAGCGCAGGCTGTAAAAAAAAGAAAGAAAGTGAATTTATTCAACGTTGGACTTGAAAGCAATGAATTCTCAAGGTGAGGCTGAAGCTTATCTTATCTGTATTCATCACCAAAGAGCCACATACAAAATACAAAATATATTACATATGTATACATGTATTACATTCTGATTTATTCTGTTGTTTTTCTTTATCTCAACCCCTTGCGTGGCCTTATTTGAATGTCACAGTATTCTGGTAGCTGTGCTTCACTTTTAAATGTGACATTTATTTAAAAAATATACAGTGAGTATAACAGTTTTTTTTTAAAAAAATACTTGAGCAAATAACTTTATTGTGAGTTTTTGTCACAGGAAACTGGTTTTAAGAGAATCAAAATAATAGTTTTGGTTAATTTTAGGCTTGTGTATAATCTACATTAAATATTAAATGTTCTTCCCGATTTTATTTTTTTAGCATTTAGTTACGTTTTTTTAATTATTATCTGTTTTAACATGTTTTATTTTTTATTATTAAATGTGATAATAAAATCAATTTGCTTTGTGTTTGACATTTGTCTTCTTCAGAAAAACTTTTTTACTCTTCCTTGTGTTTTCCTCTCACACACTATTTTCACATTCTGAAACGAGGGTTGTCTTTACAAGAGTAAAACCACTGATTTTAAGTCAGGGCAGCGTTTGTCCTTTTAATGGCCAGCAGGAGTCATGTCATCAAGGTCCTATTCATCATAAAATGAGATTCTGCTTAATATCAGTAAACAGACAGCCATCCATTTATTTAGAAATCTTGAAATTCCAGCTACACGTCAACTGTGCTTTCCTCTATATTTATCTCTTTTTTGTCAAGTTTTATTGAAACTGCTTGTGAACCACAGAAAGGTTCACATTTTTTTTTCAGTTTTACTGGGAGAGCAGGCCGGAGGTGCCACACCCAGTTAACACTGCTTCACCCCCCCACCCCTCTCCTCACCATCCATCCTTCAGCCCGCCTTAGACAGCTGTGCTTACTCTGCACTACACACTCAGGGAGGGAGCGAACAGGAGTGATGGAGATGGAGAAAGAACAAGTGTCTGAACACGGCTGCGTTATTTTAATTCTTTTTTTTTTTTGCCCCATCATTCTGGATGACCCTGATACTGACTCATTGATTTAACATTAGTCATTTCTTAAGGAAAAAAGAAAAAGGAAAATGTGGAGGAATAGGTGAAGTTTTGAATAAAAAAGTTCTAATAGAAATCAACATTATAGCTGATATTGTTCTGTTTTGTGGCTTTTTCTTGGTAGTAGCTTTGATTCACATTGCTATTTGTATGGCGTATTTATGAACTTTTCTAACTGATAATGAAAAATTATGAAAAGCTCTAAAATGTAAATACAGTGTATTTTATACATTACCTGGATATTTGAAATGTTTCTGTAAAAATTGGAATTACAAAAGCAAATATTTGAAAGGATGTCTACATGACATTTCACCTTCATTTGGCAGAAGTTGAGGGCCAAATGTAAGATTCAAAGTTAAATATGAATTATAGAAAAAGGCAAAAAATAAACTCAGCATGCATTGAGGTTAGACACCTAATAGTAAACTAAAGTAAAGCTAATTTATTGACCCATGTGTCTGAGACGTGGTGTCTGCATTAGTGTTAGCCCTGTGTGAACGAACGTCTGACCAGAAACTCTAGTATAAATGTGGAAGAATAGACAAAGACAGATTTACAAACGAGCTTGGTTTTAGCCTGAGTGAGAGTGAGAAATACTGGCTCCAGTCTACTCAGAGGCAGACAGAATGGGCTGAGTGATGGGCTGACAGCCAGACCAAGACCAAGTCCACTCTATTGAGCCTCAGAATAAGCCAGAGTGTTATCAGAGGAGGAGCAGCTGGCTGCTGAGCAGGACAGCTGACAGATGATGCTGACGGAGGCTCTACCTGCCAGTGCAGCATCTTCAAACACTTTATTTAAAATCGCTGCGCAGCTAAAGAAGTCATCATAAAGTTGCGTCAGAGCTAAATTTATACCAAAGGTTAAACAGGAAGTTAAATCTTTTTGAATGAAAAGTAAAGAAACTCAAATAAGTGACATGGACATTTAATTTGTGTATGTTTGACTGACTGTTAAAGTTAGAGTAATCGTGAATTTGTACTGCTTGTAAAACTCTCTAAAACTCTAAATCTCACTGTAAATATGTCACATCTACATCAACAAGTTTTCTTTAGATTTTGTACATTTTGATTAGAAAGACCTATTTAGTTTTATTAATATTAATATTTATACACAAAATCATAATTATTCTATTATTCAAAATGTGATTTTATTCTGTAGTTCCATATTTTTATATATATTATTTATTCTTGTTTAAAAGGTTGTGATATATAAATACAATAAAGTCATGATTCTTTCTGGGAAAACAGCAGAATTTGTGGATCTGAGAGTTAATTTTCAAAAGTGATTGAAATTCTTTGAACAAACAAAATTATATTATCCTGATATTGACTGTGAAATCTGAGAGTCTCCAGATGAATTATTTCTAACTGAGCGTGTGATTGATCAACAATGAGGGTCTAAAGGGAAGATGTGTGTCTTCAGTTCCACCTGGATAGACAGAGACCACGGACCTCAGTGGAAACTGGAACCAGAACACCAAACACTATCTGAGTGCAAATGTAAAAGATAGGAACCGGGAAAAAAATATGGACTCTTCTTTCTGCTCAGAGAGTAAATTTCTTTAAGCTCCATTTAAATCTTGACTTTCTAGCTGAAGGAGGCAACTTTTAGTGCTTAATTAGTTCATAAACTACGCAGGGTGTCTGCGGCCCTGGAGCTGGGTCCCCACGGCAGACTGTCAACAGTCTGCTCATTAGAAGAAGCCACTGGTCTGTGTCTGCCGCTCTGCATGGGCTCATATCACAGTCTCTGTGGCTTAGAGGAAGCCGAGAAACACCACACACACACACACACACACAAATGCGAAGAAAAGACCAAATCAAACAAGATGTGATCTTTTATGAGCAGAGGTAGAGTCTGATGGAGTTTATTCCTCTGAGCTGTCGAGCTCCATTGTTTGCAAAATGCACATCAGTGAGTCACAGGGACTGTAGCTCTCACACACATACACATTACACACACACCCACCCACACACACACGCAAATTCCTTTACCGCTATTCTCAGTAGGATTCCATACAGACTTTACTTCATTTTTACCAAAATTCTAACCCAGAAATGGGTTTATGATAAGGCAGAGGTGTCAAAGAATATTTCTGCAATGCCCTCTTGTGAGAAGGAGCTTTTTTTTTTTAATATTGAAAATAAACCAAAATAGGAAATCATTGCATTTTCCCATTGTGGGACATACAAAATATATTGAAATTTAAATAATACGTCCTGCTGCACCTCTCTGCAATAGCTCTGTGCTCTTGGGGGGAGGAGGGAGTTCCCTTGGACTTTGGTGTCAAGGGGACACATTGGAGTTTCCATCAGGTCTACAGTCAACAAGTAACGTGCTGAGGTACTGTGAGAAATAGGCTTGACATGTGTTCTAGAACAGTAGAAGGGAGACACCCACACACATGTCAATCAGACACAGGGAACTTCACCCCCCAAGTGGCGATGCAAAGTACAACCTAAAACTTTTATGATGATTTCCAGGAGGTAATCACAGACCAACACAGACCTTGGTGTACGTCATTGTTCTGGGACTGTTCAGTTTCTCCAAACACTCATGAAGGTTGAGGCTGTAAGATCAACCTAAAAGTTTTTTCCTGACAGCAGGGACTAGTGTGGACTAATAATTAGCACTGGTAGTCTAGTGCCAGTTTATTCCTGGTCCTCATTGCTATAACACTCCTTTGGTGCCATCTCTACTCTCTCCACTACTGTGTACTTATCTCCTGATGTAGAAAAGAAGCCCTATAAAAACTCTATCACCCAAACTTAATTAAAGTTTTTGATTTTATATACAATACACATTTCTTTAATCAATTCTAATTTCTTCAGTGTGTGAGAAGTGGACCTGAAGGAAGACTTCTGACATCTGAACTGGTGTTGGCTCAGTCTGACACTCTGCCTGCTCCCTCGCTCCCTGTGTTGGTCTATTAAGAGTGCATGTAGTTTAAATGAGTGCGAATCACAGGCACAATAAAACTAAATGGCGTTTTGCTGAATAGCTGGGTGATGAGGCGGTGGAAGTCAAATGAAGACGTGGCGGGGGAGCTGCGGTATCACAGCTGCGGAAGGAGAGAGCGAGGGGAAATATGAAGCAGTGATTCTGGATGGGTTCTCGCTTTTCTGACTGAATGTTTGGCAGGCGTGGCTCACTGCAGCAGCACAGAACCAGCTGGCACGGACTGATAGATGGAGGGAGAGAGAGAGGGACAGAGAGAGGAAGAACAGAAAGAACACAGAGGAAGGAAGCAGTGACTTAGGTGAGATAAAGACAAATCTAATGGAGGAAAAATGAAGAGACAAGCTGAAGGAGCTTAAATCAGGGGGAGGTTCCTTGAGGCTACGCCGTAGACGTCCACATTAAATGATAGCATCAGTAATGAGAGTGAAATGTAGCGGAGCTGATTGATCCAGGTGAAGGAGAGAGAGCTCTTGTTCTGTTAATCCTAATGTGAAGATGATAGAAGGAACTACAGGCACACAACGATAATATAGCTGATAGCTAATATAGCTAATGTAGCTGATTAACCCTGAGGAGGCCCAACTGAAATAACAATGTTGTAACTCTAACCAACAGAGTTTCAACCAGACCACAGTGGAGAGCTGCGAGTGTTTCAGTGATTGGTAAAGTCTGTCCAGAGTAAGTGGCTGGGTGGAACACACTGTGTGTTAGTGATAATTCAGTGGTGCTCAATAAGTAGATTGGGATGTACCAGAGATTACAAAGGGAGTGCTGGTGGATCATAAACAATAAAAATAATTTTAAAAAAATCAAATATAAATATAATTCTATAAGCTGTAGTAGTGAATTGATCAATACTGGACCCTACAGCTAAGGTGGATCACTGAGATCACTTTTGCCAGGTCATTTGAATTGGTAGGAAATATCCAGGAAATATAATTGTATTTCCTATACTTTTACTACTATGATTTAGCTTTGTTTTCTCTGATTGCTATACTGTCTTTTAGCCATATCTGCTTCTTTGTCCAACCAGGTTTTTACATGCTAAATATTATGTTATCAATGATTTACCTTTTTTTATCTATTATAGTGTGAATCCATTTGGTTATTTATATACATTTTAAGTCAACTTCTGAAAGTTTAAGGCGTTGTTCCTAGTCCACTCGATTTACATTTTGCTTAAATGGTTGGAATGGAAATAGTGATCAATAAGACCACAACAAATTCCGTCGACTGCATCCTTAATTAACAAACTAATGAAAGTTCAAGAACACTTACATTTCAGTGTTTTTAATCTACACAGTTAGAGCTAGGCCCAGTGAACAGGAGGGGGGTGGGAGTGAACCAGGGCCGTACCTCCGAGCTGCTGCTCTGATGCCACACCTGCAGGAAGAAGAAACACATCAGTGTCAGTGTAATGACTTTGTTTACCTTTCCCAATGATCATAACGGATGCTCATTGTTGTGTGTATCACGAATTGCCGACTCTTCACCGAAAACACACTTGCGTGCATTTTGTGGCCTGTTTAATTCACTGTAATAAATCATGGAAGAGTGGTCAGTGACTACACACATGGAGACGCACGTTGTGTGTTTGTGTGTGTGCGTGTTGCCTCCCCTATCGACTGTGTGTTTCCCAGGCGTGTGGCTGTGATGAGGTCCGCTCTGCGTTGATAATAAGCTCATTAATCATGCGGCCTTACAGCCTGCAGCTCTGCTCTATATCCCGTCTATGATTATCAGTATTGACTGTGTGAGGGAGAAGCAGACGCTGCCTCTGGACCAATGGAGGAAGAGTTTGCTGTGCTGTAAAAGGGAGGATGGGTATTGATTCAAACAGGAAAAGACACTAAATGTTTTGTCTTTGTGATGGGGAAGATATCAGGGGTGCTGGAGGTGACATTACTGTTCAGTTTACTGGTAGAAACTGAACAACCAAGATCAGAGATTAGCAACGACGTAAGGAAAAATGGCCTTTAACTTTTAATAGTTCAGTTTACCATTATGTTGCCATCAAAGTCTTTTTTATTATATATATATGTGTATATATATATATATATATTCTTACAATTAGACTTCTGATATCCCACGGCTACTGTTTAGTTGGAACTAAGCTAGTTTAAATAAACTAGAGTAAGTAAAAAAAAAACACACAAAATTAGCACATATAGCCAAAAGCTATTCAAGTTAAAGTGTGGAAAAGGGCTTTAACCAGTAAGAAAATTCTAGAAGAAAGGCTACATGTAGGCCAAAGGATACCAAACAATTAACTAAACACTGCTAAAGTTAGACACAACCCTACTATACAGTCATTTTCAACAAATAACATCCCTAGCTTCACCTTCAGATAAAATGTGAGTCAAAAAGGAGTTATGGAAGGATAGACAAACAGTGTCCCAGAAATATTCATAAGTCAGGTTAGCTAGCTGAATGCGAAAATAATTTGACTTTTGACTAACATCATGTAAACACACTGACTAAGAGCGAGTGTCTGCGGTTGAATCCTGGCTGACTGTGCATGGTTCAGTCAATGATACCTGTGTGTCAGCAGCTCATACAACCACACTTCAAACGCCTTGAACTACTTCTTTTTATAGAGAGCATCACATCCACCTGGCAGGTCTTTGTTAAAGTCATGCTGAGAGCTGCACTTTGTGTTACAATTATCCCTCACCTCCTCCCAGGAAACCAGGATATGGAAATAGGGCAGACTAAAAAAGACTGGGAAAAGAAAAACAGGAGCAGTGTGAATGCAGGGTCGGGTCAAAATTATCTGTGCGCCTCGAAAATACACGGAAAGACACACACGTACAACACTTGTGTAATCACTGCCTAGTAAGCATCGCCAAGAAGTGAAAAATACTTTTTTTTGGTGCACATTTACAATCTTTTTCGGGAATATTGTCTAACATGACATTGGTCCACAGTGCATAAAATGTTGGGGACCTGGGATCTAGCCAGCTCCAAGATCACCATGAAAACAATTTCATTTTTACTTCACCACTAGAGGGAGACTGACCTCACAGCAAAAAAAGACTTTAAAGATTTTAAAGAAAGTAAGTAGAAAATCTTGCCATTTCTTTGTTTACACACACACACACACACACACACACACACACTCCTGTCACTCAGTGAGTGTGTGTCTTTATCTGCTGTTAACACACCTGCCAGCCTCAGATCCTCAGCCGGGATTGGAACCTCAACTCTCTCTTTCATCACACACTTTGTTCCATCTCTAAGCTGCTCAGCTCAGCATGCGGGATTAGACGCTATGCTAATAAGTGTCCTACGTTCACAAAGACTCTGGAATTACTTTAGACCTTATAAATACCTCACGAATAAACCACCAACGGAACTGTCAACTGTGATTGTTTTCCCTGCTTTTTCTACTCATTTACCCAATGTCTTCTCAAATGTGGTGAACGCCAGGAACTGTGTAGCACAGTATTTTTCAATTCAAATAGCAGATTGCATATTGCTGACATGGTGGTGGATATTGCTCTCTTGCCTGCCAGTGCACTAAACCCCCTGTTGCCAGGAGGGTGGTGTGAAATCCGTTTAGCACAGATTTTTAGCAGAAAGCTTGTCAACTCATTTAAACTGAAAAATGCACTGAAATGAGTTTAAACTGTAGGTGTTCAAACAAACAAAAAACAAACAAACATAAAAGCTCAATATTCTTCCCTCCTCTACCATATGTTTCTTTGTTCGTGTGCAGCTTCCTGTGAAAAAGAAAGAGCCTCCTGACAGTAAACAGAGATGACTGGCCCGTCACGGCCCTAACAGGCGTCAGGAGACATTTTAAAGAGCATCTGGGCAATAGTGTGTTATTTATTTCTTTACAGTGGGAAGAGCTGCAGGTGCTCTTCTGCGAGGTGTGAAAGGTCTGAGGTGTATCTATACGATGCATCAATAGGATGTGGCTAATTCTGCATCAGTGCACTGACAATGTGCAATCAGAATATCAGCTGAGAAAATTACAGGCCTTGGAGCAGAAAATCACTTGCTTAAAAAAAAATAACACGGAAATGCCTTTGACATTTTGTTAAATGTGCAGAATATAACAGGACACTCACAAACAGTTCTCTACATAAAGAACACTGCAGATGTCAGTAGGAACAGTTTGACCTTAGACTGTTTATAAGAAAGGGACACAGCGACAGACAGAACAATACCAAAGAGGAAGCAAAATATATTAAAGTTAGTTTTTCTCCTGGATGTAACAATTTGAGAATATATTTTGGGTCATTTGTACAGCTGTGTTTATCACCTTGTTGAAGTGTATTTATTTGTTCTTAGGTAGTTCAACATTTGCTCATCTTCTGGTTGCCTTAGTGATCCGTTCAGTTTACTGGTAAAAAAACTGAAAACTCACGATCAGAAAAATATCAAATCTATAAATAAAATAATTCTACAGTATGTAAAGCACACACAGTTCTACTATTTAACCTAGACTTTTCACTGAAGTGAAGTGGTTTATGGCAAAGACTATATCTATTTTATAGCATTTCTGATAAAACTTTATTTGCTTTATTTTTAACCAATTGTTCTTCATCCCATTTCATGGAAATGGAAATTATTGTAACATTTCAATAAACACTGGACTAAATTAGGCTTTTTTATTATTTATTTATTTTTAGTTTTAGTTTAGTTTTATTTTATTTTATCTTATTTTTACAGTTATCTAATATGAAATGTTTGAATTAGGTCCAAATTCTATAGCCAATGTCTTGTTTGGTCATGTAGCTGCAGCTAGTTTTTTTTTTCTTCCAATTTTTAATTTCTTGAGCTACCTTTCCTTTCGTTTATTTCACTAAAAAACAGTTAAAAAGGACATACAGCATGCTAATCGTTGACAGGTTGATCGTTACAGGATTTAATTGCGAAGCAAATCAACACTTACACCTGTGACTCAGACTCATTCAGAATAGCCTACATGTTAGTGATGCATCTCATTAGTCTGCTTTCATTCATCACCATTCTGCAGGAGCTGCTCCTTATCTACATTCAGGTCTGTACATCTGCTGCTATACATCCTACGTGTTCCGGTTCCATTAGACTCACACCATCCATGTAGAGGAATTCTAGCAACAGTTGAGTCTCTGAACTTCCCCTTAATGACCAATGATAATGGACTTTAAAGCGAGGCATCGGTGAACTGTTGCAGCGTCAGTGTTAAAGCCAATCAGAAGTGGTCCTGATGAGAGTGTACATGTGCTGTACTTTAGGTCTATTGTGTGCAGCTGGATGTCAAACAAAGGCTCTGGCTGCCATCCATGTGCCCAAGCTTTGGGGGAAGGGAAGGAGGACAGCGTTGCTCTCTGGTCTGTGTGTGTGTGTGTGTGTGTGTGTGTGTGTGCACTTGTGCATGTGTGGCTTGGAATGGGGGAGGTGGAGTGTTACTGTCTGAATGAACTCCTCCTCACTCCCTCTCCCTACATTCCTTTGTCCTCCTCATCTTTCATCCTACTCTTTTTTTTCCTTTTGTCATGTGTTCACTTCCGACTCTGTGACCCTTTTGCCTTTTACCCTCTTCCTGCTCCTTCTCTCCTCCTGCTCCTCCAGTTTGCCATACGTCACAGCTGTTATTAACCAGCGACAAATCCAAATGAAAAAGTTTACCTTCCATTACAGCTGCTTTGGTGAAAAACCTTTTTCTCAATATGGAAATACTGCGACTGCTGTTGCTCCTGCAGACTGTGTAGGATGCAAATATGTCCAATTCATCTGATTCCGCATGTGCAACCTGTTTCTTTCTTCCAGTGTGTGTGTGTGTGTGTGTGTGTGTGTGTGTGTGTGTGTGAAGTGAGCGTGGGAAGACAATGAAAAATGGCTGATGTATCCTCAGGGAACCCTACCGTAAATTATTCTGACAAATTGGGACTGAGCCTGTGTGATCTCTGGGGCTTTTATCCTGAGGGTGTGTTTGCAGCCCACAGTCAACACGCACACACACACACACACACACACACACATACAAGAGCCGCATCAAAGTGACACATGACAAATAGTAGGTGTGGATGATGGAGTTACTATTAGCCAATAAGCTATTCAATGTATTCAAACAGAGTGAGTACTGAAGTACTCTGCAAGTGCAGAAAGGTAAAATGGGAACAAAGAAATATGAGCATACAGTAAATTTCATGCCCGTCACTTTTATGGGGTAAATTTGAACAATTTGGAGCCTGAAAGTAAATAATAAATCTGTGGCAGGATGGAGACAGAGAGTGAAGGAATTTAACATCAGAAAGACAAAGAAGGAGACAAGGGCTTACCTTACGGACTGCTAAAAGTGTGTGTCTCCGTTCTTCTTCCTCTCTGTCTTCCTCTTTCACACACTCCGTCTCTCTCTCTCTCTCTCTCTCTCTCTCACACACACACAC